TATATATGTTGTTGTTGTTATGTGCCGTTGAGTCGGTTCCGACTCATAGCGACCCTGTACAGGGTTTCCAAGGCTGTAAATCTTTATGGGAGCAGAATGCCTCATCTTTCTCCTGCGGAACAGCTGGTAGTTTTGAACTACTGACCTTGGGGTTCGCAGCCCAATTTGTAACCACTACGCTACCAGAGTTCCTTATGTATATATATATATAGATACATGCATATAATTATTGTTATGTGCCATTGAGTTGGTTCCGACTCATAGCAACCCTGTATAAGGGTTTGCAAGGAGCAGCTGGTGAGCTTGAACTGATGACCTTGCAGTTCAAACCGATCTTGCAGTCCAGTGCATTAATCCACAGCGACATACCTGGACTCTATTTATATATATATATGTTGTTAAGTGCCGTCAAATTGGTTCCTACCCATAGCGACCCTGTATAGAGTTTCCAAGAGTGGGTTTGAACTGCAAACCTTGTGGTCCAGCACATTATCCTGCAGTGCCACGCTAGGACTCCCTATGTATGTGTGCGTGTGTGTGTGTGTAAGAGAAAGAGTGCTTTGTTTGGAGCTGTATGTCTTGTAGGTGGTTAGGAAAAAGAGATAAAAAATTTGCATGGGTCCAAGGTCTTGAGCTGTTCACAGGTCCTTAAATGTTAGCTGAGGTCTCTGGATTTGGAACGGTTGCACTGAGTAAATATTTGTATCATTTTGTTGTGTGTGTGTGTGTGTTTTACAATGATCTCTGAATCCCTGGTCATTGTAGAAAATCAGAAAATGCAGATGAGCAAAAATTAGAAAGTCAGTCCTTCTAACTGTACCTCTTAGAGATCATTTTAGTGATAGGATTGATCATCTTCAAGACTTGTTCTCATGTTTGTTTATGCATCTTTTTTTATGTATATCTTTTAAAATACAACTCATACCTATCATTCAGTTACCTGCGTTTTATCACTCATTCTATTGTGAAGATTTTTTTGTCTCAATGTTGTAATTTTTTTTATTATTATAAGTTTTTATTGTGTCAACATTGTATCTTTTAAGCATAGTTTGAATGTAAGCCTTGGATTTTCTCTTACAGATCAAAGGTTCATGGACAGGGAAGAATCGTGTCCAGAATCCCTACAGTCATGGTAACATCGTGAAGAACTGCTGCGAAGTGCTCTGTGGCCCCTTGCCCCCCAGGTACTTGGGGTTAGAAGGTTCTGGGCTCTTGGGATGAGGTACTCAACTGGCCCCTATTAGCTGGTGTGATGCATTCTTCTAAACATAACCGCCTATCAGAAAATGGGTCTTCCCAGGGACCATCCCTTGGTACCATATTTACATACATTAGACCAGGGGTGGGGAATGTCTGGCCTGAGGGCCATCTAAGGCCCACAAATGCATTTGGTCTGGCCCTGCCAAGACAACCTCAGTTTCAGCCATTACATTGCTGTTGTTGTTAGTAAGTGACATCAAGTCAGTTCCAACTCATAGCCACCCTATGTAGTGTTTCCAAGGAGCAGGTGGTGGGTTTGAACCACAGAACTTTGTGGCTCAAACTGACCTTGTGGTCCAGCGCATTGTCCTGTAGGACTCCACACCAGGACTCCAGTCATCATATTGTTGTTGTTGTTAAGTGCCATCGAGTCGGGTCCGACCCATAGCGACCCTGTACAGGGTTTCCGAGGGTGTAAATCTTTACGGGAGCAGAACGCCTCATCTTACTCCCATGGATCAGCTGACCTTAAGGTTTGCAGCCCGATTCGTAACCACTACGCTACCAGAGCTCCTTAGTCATCATATTAGGGGTGAGTTAATTAAATGTTTGACTAAATATAGCTGGTAATTTTGTATGGCCCATGAATCATGTTATAAATTTTGGCAGAAAAAAATGTTCCCCACCCCTGCCATAGACCATAGACCATGAATGGTTGTTTTGGAAGGATGGATCTTGTGTTCTTATTTCATTTGCTTGTTCCCTGGTTAATGCAGTGTTCCTTGCTTTGTGGGGAAAAAAGTGACTGGAAGATTGGAGGCAAAAGCTAGGAAGGATTAGGCTATCTTGCCAAAGGATAGGCTTATGTTTTCCAGTCTACAAAACAGGGTTCAGTGGGGTAGGTGGGTGGTGGGTGAATACAAAGTGTATTATTAACTCTCCTGTCTCCTGGCCCTTCAGTGTGCTGGATCGGAGGGGTATTTTGCCACTGGAGGAAAGTGGAAGTCGACCTCCAAGTACTCAAGAGACCAGTAGCAGCCTCTTGCCACAGAGCCCAGTAAGTGTTCTTGGCTTCCAGACTGAGTCAGTGCTAGAGGGTGCAGGTGAAATGTACAGTTTAGAAACATAGCAGACACTTTTGTACCCTAATCACCCCAGCTTCCTTGTCTCTGCTTCTGCCCAGTTCTTCATGCCAGTTCCTGTGCTGCGTGCCAGGGAGACATCAGTGAGCAAGGCCACTCCTGCCTCAACTCTCACGGAGCTTATTGTCTGGGGATGGGTAGAGAAGCAAGAGATAAGCAAATAGACCCTTGCTCATTCATCAAATACTATAGGAGAGCAAGAAGAATTTCTTTTTGAGCGATTAGTACGAGACTACCCCTCTATGTAAATTTTCCAATATGTTACACCACTCCATAATCCCTGATAGCCACCACCACTCCTCCCGTCCCTCACGTCTCAGGGTTCTGCAAGACACTGCGACATCTCACAGAAATTACAAACTCATGCAATCAACAAAGTTGGCAAGTCCCAAATCTGTAGTTTAGATGTCAGTCTGGAGGGTTCTCCTTACCCATGTAGTCTCAGGAACTCAGGAACCCAAGATGGCAGGTGAGACAACAGGCTGTTGATGTACGAGGCTGCAGGAGCTGGGGAATCAGGTCAGGCAACAGACCACAAGTCCCCCAAACTGGAAATCCAGCAAAGATGAGTCAGATGCAGGATCTAGAGCAAGGGAGTGAACTTTGTCCACACATTCCTATATATTGGGATCAGATCACACCAGCAAAGAAAACTTGGGATGGTGACTTGAGTCACACCCTCTAATAAAGTGGGGGCATCCTTGCTCCTTGTTGTTTTTAAATGCCATAAAGTCAGTTCCAACATGCTGTTGTTGTTGTTAAGTGCCGTCAAGTCGATTCCAACCCATACCGACCCTGTATAGGGTTTCCGAGGCTGTAAATCTTTACAGGAGCAGAAAAGCTCATCTTTTTCCCACGGAACAGCTAGTAGTTTTGAACTGTTGACCTTAAGGTTCGCAGCCCGATTTGTAACCACTATGCTACCAGAGCTACTTGTCTTCCCTGATAGTATGTCCAAAATATGAGAAATAAAGTCTCATCATCCTGTCTTTTAAGGAGGAGCGTTCTGACTGTACTTCTTCCAACACATATTCGTTTGTTCTTTTGGCAGTCCTTGGTCCTTTCAACATTCTTCACCAATCCCATAATTCAAAAGCATCCATCTGAGATCTTTTGTATTCATTGTCCAGCTTTCACACGCATATGAGGTGATTAAAAATGCTGGGGCTTGGGTCAGGAACACCTTAGAACTCAGAATGAAATCTTTGCTCTTTGCCGTTTTAAAGAGTTCTTTTGTCTAATGCAATAATATATCATTTGATCAATATGTTGTTTGATTTCTTGACTGCTGCTTCTGTGAGTGTTGATAGTTGATCCAAGAATAATGAAGTCCTTGACAACTTCAATCTTTCCTCCATTGTTAAGAATGTTGTTTATTGGTTCAGTGGTGAGGATTTTTGTTTTCTTTACATTGAGGTGCAATCCATATCGAAGGCTGTGGTCTTTGATATTCATCAGTAAGTAGTATAAGTCCTCTTCACTTTCAGCAAGCAAGGTTGTATCATCTGCATATCAAAGGTTGTAATGAGTCTTCCTCCAATCCTAATGCCACGTTTTTCTTCATAGAACCCAGCTTCTCAGATTATTTGCTCAGCATACAGGTTGAATAAGTATGGTGAAAGAATACAACCTTGTCACACATCTTTCTTGATTTTAAACCATTCAGTGTTCCCATGTTCTGTTTGAACAACTGCCTCTTGGTCCATGTACAGATTCCTCATGAGCACAATTAAGTGTTCAGGAATACTTATACTTCTCAATGTTGTCCATAGCTTATCATGATCCACACAATCGAAAGCCTTTGCGTAGTTTAAAAAGTACAAGTAAACATCTTTCTAATATTCTCTGCTTTCAGCGAAGATCTATCTGACATCAGCAATGATATTCCTAGTTCTATGTCCTCTTCTGACTCTGGCTTGAATTTTTGGTAGCTCCCTGTCGATGTACTGTTAGCAATTGTTTTTAAATTATCTTCAGCAAAGTTTTACTTGCATGAAATATTAGTGCTATTGTTCAATGATTTTACATTCTTTTGGGTCATAGTTCTTTGGAATTGGCACAAATATGGGTATCTTCCAGTTAGTTGGCCAGGTAGCTGTCTCCCAGATTTCTCTTGGTATAGATGAGCTGTGTCAGTTTTTTAAAACATTTCAGTTTGTATTCCATCAGTTCCTGGAGCCTTGCTTTTCGACAGTGTCCTCAGTGAAGCTTGGACTTCTTTTATCAGCACCACAGGTTCTTGATCATATACTACTTCTTGAAATTGCTGAGCATCGACCAATTTTTTTTGCTATGGTGACTCTGCATTCCTTCCATCTTCTTTTGCTACTTCTTGCATCATTCAATATTTTGCCCATAGAATCCTTTAGTATTGCAACCCAAGGCTTGAATGTTTCCTTCGGTTCTTTCAACTTGAGAAATACTGAACATGTTCTTCCCTTTTGGTTCTCTAATTCTAGATCCTTGCACATTTCATTATAATCCTAGACTGTCTTCTCAAACTACCCTTTAAACTTTTTGTTCAGTATTTTCACATCATCTTTTCTTCTAGTTGATTTAGCTACTTTTCATTTGAGAGCAAGTTTCAGAGTCTCTTCTGACATCCACTTTGGTCTTTCCTTTCTTTCCCATCTTTTTAATGACCTTTTTCTTTCTTCATGTATAATGTCCTTGATGCCATCCCATAACCCCTCTGGTCTTTGGTTACTAGTGTCTGATGCCTCAAATCTGTTCTTGAGTTGGTGTCTAAATTCAAGTGGGACATACACAAGGTCATATTTTGACTTATGTAGACTTGTATTAATTTTCTTCAGCTTCAGCCTGAAGTTGCATATGAGCATCCAATAGTCTGCTCGACAGTAGGTCTCTGGCCTTGTTTCGACAGTAGGTCTCTGGCCTTGTTTCAGCTGATGCAATTGAGCTTCTCCACCATCTCTTCCTACAGATGTAGTCAGTTTGATGCCTGTGTATTCTATCTTGTGAGGTCCACACCTTTTATGTTGCTGGAAAAATGGTACTTGCAGTGAGTTAGTCATTGGTCTTGCAAAATTCTATCCTATACTCTCCAACATCCTTTCATCACCAAGGCCATATTTTCCTTTCTCTTTGTTTCCAGTTGTTGAATTCCAATCTCCAGTAATTACCAATGAATCTTGATTGCATGTATAGTATATTTCTGACTGAAGAAGTTGGTAGAATTCTTCAATTTAATCATTGGCTTTAGTGGTTGGTGTGTAAATTTGAATAATAGTGCTATTAACTGGCCTTCCTTGTAGATATATGTATATTATCCTATCACAGACAGCATTGTACTTCAAGATGGATATTGAAATGTTCTTTGTGGCGATGAACGCTCTTCAATTTGTCATTCCCAGAATAGTAAATTATATGATTGTCCAATTTAAAATAGCCAATACCAGTGCATTTCAGCTCACTAAAGGTGCCCTAGTGGGATATGCACTGGACTGCTAATTACACACAAGGTTGGCAGTTCAAACCCATAAGCCACTCGATGGGAGAAAGTTGAAGTTTTCTGTTCCTGTAAAGATTCTGTTCCAGCCACAGAAATCCTACACAGGGTTGTTAGCATTGGAATCAAGTCGATGGCAGTCATTTCTTTTAATGCCCAGGATACTGACCTTTATGTGTTCCATTTAATTTTTGACCCCTTCCAATTTTCTTAGATGCATACTTTGTGCTTTCCATGTTGAGATTACTAATGGATGTTTGTAGTTGTTTCTTCTCATTTTGAGTTGTGTCCCATCAGTAAATGAAGGTCCCCAAAGTTTTACTCTGTTCGCATCATCAGGGTCAACTCTTCTTTAAGGAGGCAGCTTTTGCCCAGTTGTGTTTTGAGTGCCTTCCAACCAGAGGGGCTCATCTTCCAGCAATATGTCAGACAATGTTCTACTGCTATTTGTAAGGATTTCAATGACTAACCTTTCCGAAGTGAAGTGGTATGCTTCTCCTTCTTCCTAGTCTGTCTTCATTTGCAATCTCCACTGAAACCTGTCCACCATGGATGCCCCTGTTCATATTTAAAATACTGGTGGCAGAGTTTCCAACATCAAAGCAACACAGAAATCAACATAGTGCAACAAACTGACAGGTGAATGGTGGCCTTAATCCTTAGTTCCACCTTAATCCTTGTTGTTGTTGTTGTTGTCAGGTGCCATCGAGTCAGAACCGAGTCATAGTGACCCCATGCACAGCATAACGAAACACTACCCCGATCCTGGGCCAACCTCACTACTGTTGCCACACTTGAGTCCATCAATGCCAATCCATCTCGTCGGGGGTCTTCTTTTTCTCTGACCCTCTATCTTACCAAGCATGATATCCTTCTCTAGCGACTGTTCGTTCCCTCCTGACAATGTGTCCAAAGTATGAAAGATGAAGTTTGGCCTCTAAGGAGCACTCTGGCTGCACTTCTTTCAAAATAGATCTATTGGTTCTTTCGGCAGCCATGGCACTTTTAGTATTCTCCTCCAACACCATAATTCAAAGGCATCAATTCTTCTACAATCTTCCTTATTCACTGTCTAGCTTTTGCATCCATATGAGGTTATTGAAAATACCATGGCTTGGGTCAGGCGCACCTTAATCCTCAAGGTGACCTCTTTGCTCTTCAACACTTTAAAAAAGTTCCTGTGCAACAGATTTGCCTAATGCAATACATCGTCTGATCTCTTGACTGCTGCTTCCGTGAGTGTTGATAGCTGATCCATACATCTGTCAATGTATGATTGTAGCTGTTTCTGCATTACCTTTAGTAAAACTTTACTCGCTTGAGATATCAAAGAGATTGTCCGAAGATTTCCGCATTCCGTTGGGTCACCTCTCTTTGGAATGGGCACAAAACCTTAATCCTTAATCCTGCCTCATTAACAGCTCACTGCAAAAGGGACCATAATCA